GCTGTCGTCGTTTGGCGGGGGCCTGGGCTGGATTCAAACCCACCACCTTAGGTGTATGTGGCTGGCGCCTTAGCCACTTGAGCCACAGGTGCCGAGCCAAATGTGAAATCTTTTTTTTGGCAGTTTTTGGCTGGGGCTGGGTTTGAACCCTCCACCTCCAGCATATGGAGCCAGTGCCCTACTCCTTTGAGCCACGGGCGCTGCCCTAACAAATTTGAGTAAAGGAAAGCAAACAGTAAAAACCCTCCACCAACTACTGACAATGCCCTGATCATGAAAGAATGAACTATGCAGACCTCATAGAGGATAAGGCTAGTATCTTGACTAAATCCTGCTCTGTCACACATAACCGGGAGCAAGTCACCTAGGAGAGAGAAAAGTAGTTAAATACGTAGCTATGAAGTAAGGAGCAAAAATCTACTGAGAAGGCAAGTACAGTAAGGACTTACGTATTTTACAGGATATTGGTGTGTAGATATGCCCACAGTAATTCAAGCTCCGTGTTTTGGGATCATACATCTTCAAAAATAACATTACATCATCTATAAGATTGACAAACAAGTTCTGTTAGGATTGTTAACACTCAGTACAATGTTGAAGAAAAAAATTAATAGTAAGCTTACTAGCTGCTCAGTAACAACTTGAAATGACAGCTTATGGTCCCTAACAGTTACTGTGTCTGATGAGGTTTACCCAAGAGGCTGATGCTTTGACTACTATAGAGATTGTTTCCATCTGAAACTCATGGGAACCACTATACTTGAAGCAGCAAGGGAATATTAAGTGCACTGAATTTAGAGATCCTAGTTCAGGGGTCCTCAAACTTTTTAAACAGGGGGCTAGTTCACTGTCTCTCAGACTGTTGGAGGGCCGGACTGCAGGCCCCGGAACGAGTTGGCTGCTAAGCAGGATAGGCAGCAGTGGCAAAAACACCCGGAGAGCTGAATAAACATCCTAGGTGGGCTGCATATGGCCCGTGGGCTGCTATAGTTTGAGGACGCCTGTCTAGTTCATAGACTCCTAGCTACTGACTAGCTGGTTAAGTGTTACAGTGAAAAGATGTGTTAACAGCGTCGGTTTGCTACTGCTCTAAGTGACCACTTACAGCAATGCAAAGGTGGCATTTTATATTAAGCCCAGCAAATTCCAAGCCACTTGCTTTGTACATCGACTTTAACAGCAGGAAGATTGCCCTTCAGTGACATAGTCTCTATGGCAACTTCACCACTGCAACGTCAGGAAGTCCTTATGGCCAGAAAAGCCCAGGTATTTACAATCTGGCTTTTAAAATCTTGTGACCCTGCATTACATGATCTGATCAAAGTGATTAATACAACATAGGATAGGAGATGACACTAAGACAAAACAGGACAGCCCCACACTGCTGCTGATGCTGTCTCCCTTCTCATAGCCCAGGCTTCCTTAAAAAACCCTGGACACAGGAAGGACTTAGTGAGCACTTGTGGAATTGAGCAATGGATCTCTCTGCAATGCTTAGCCCCGTGTGTCCAAAGCAACAATCCTGGAATCCAGCTCTACTGCTCTAAGTGCAGTCAGGTGTCTCATGGGCACTTACGATCTTTATCAAACTTGGGTAATGTCGCTCCACTAGCAGCCAGCTCGGGATCAACTGTTTCCAGGAATATTGTCCAAGGGTTTTCATTATCACTGAGTTCAATCATCTATTTCCAAAAGAGATGCTGATTTTAGAAGGTTCTAATGGCTGAGGGGACAGATCGAAAAACTACACTCAGGTATTGAAGGAAGTATCCATTCTATTTAACTGGACCAAGAAGGAAATAAGATGTGCTAACTCAGTGGTTCTCAACCTGTGAGTCGCAACCCACAGGAATTATATTAAAGGGCCACGGCACAAGGAAGGTTGAGAACTACTGTGCTAACTGCAGAAGACGAAGCCCCTGCACAGGCCCAAACGAGACATGCTGTCATCAACGATATTTACTGTTTTATTGCCGTCCGCTTCATTATCTAACATTGCTGGTCTCTTGGTTCCATTACTCCTTGCTTGCATGGGCCATAATCGAATTTGATCTTGTGGATATCCCTGAAAAAATATTAAAAGCGAATAACAAAAACAAGCCCGTATTTTAGTCCTATACCAAAAACTTAGTGACTATGTTCTGTTTTTTTTTTTTTTTAAGGAGACAGGACTCCCACTGTCTCCCAGGCTGGAGTATAGTGGCATCATCATAGTTTGCTACAACCGTAAACTGGGCTCTAGCAATCTGCTGCCCCAGCCTCCTGAGTAGCTCTATGCATGCCCCATCATGCCTAATGGCTGTATTTTGTGTAGAGACAGTTTTTGGCTGGGGCTGGGTTTGAACCCGCCACCTTTGGTATATGGGGCCAGCGCCCTACTCCTTTGAGCCACAGGCACCACCCTAAAGACAGGTGCTTGCTGTTGCCCAAGCTGATCTTAGCCTTCTGGCCAAGACGTTCTTCTGCCTCGGCCTCCCAAAATGATAGGATTACAGGCATGAGCCACTGTACCCAGCCTGATTTTGTGATTGTAAGAAAAAAAGATAAGAAAGACTCACTCTATGGAACAAACTCTGACCCACCACTCAGGATCAGCTGTACTCTAGGGCTCAAGTGCCCATTCTAACCACTTCCAAAGCGGGGGAGGATATTAATATTCACAGGCAACTTCCTCCTTTGCAAATTCTATGGCAAGACTGGGTCAAAAGGACATTGACATATTTCTAGAATCCTATAGATTCCCCTGTACCAGAGTCAAGAATTCAGTATTTAGTGATTCTCAGGAAATGTGCTCAGGTCATTTACCTCACTTTTAGGCAGTGACTGGACATACTACCTTTCCCCCAAAGTAGGTAGTGTTTTCTACAAAGAAGGAAGGTGGAACCTGGAAGTCAGAGTAATAAAAGTCACCAGAAGGACTGGCACGCACCATGGTCTGGGAGAGGTTCTGAACAAACTCAGCAAGCGAGGAGTTCTTTAAAACTTTGAACACAGTGTATTTCACTTTCTCTTCATCGTACATGTCATTTCCTTGGTGGCCACAAAACTGGTCCTCAGCAACTATCTAAATACACATTTGAGAACACAGAGTTAACTGACAAAAAAAACAACACAAGTCCACACTGAACAAGTTTAATAACAAAATGCTAAACACTACTCATTTTTTGGTTTGTGACCAAGTCGGACTCTGCAACCCTGAGCAGAGTAACGCTGCTCGCTCACAGCAACCTCAAACTCTTCGGCTAGAGCAATCCTCTTTCCTCAGCCTCTCCAGTAGCTGGGACTAGAGGCAGCTGCCACAACACATGGCTAGTTTTACTATTTTAGTAGAGACAGGGTCTTACTCTTTGCTCAGGCTGGTCTCCATCTCCTGAGCTCAGGCAATCTGCCTGCTTCCCAGAGTGCTAGGATTATGAGCATGAGCCACCGTGGTTGGCCCTACTCTTTTATTTAGAAGAAATTTCTTGGCTGGGTGCCTATGTTCAGTGGTTAGGGCGCCATCAACATGCACTGTGGCTGGTGGGTTCGAACCCAGCCTGGACCTGCCAAACAACCAACAACAAAAAAAATAGCCGGGTGTTGTGGCGGTTGCCTTATAGTTCCAGCTACTTGGAAGGCTGAGAATCACTTGTGCCTAAGAGTTTGAGGTTGCTGTGAACAATGATGTCATGACACTCTACTTAGGGCGACATAGTGAGACTGTCTCAATTAAAAAAAACCCAAAAAACTTCAGATCAATTAACATGACCAAAACCTAACTCAGGTGTTTTTAATAGACAAGTAGCCTATGCTTCAATGCAATCTCTCAACTCATCTGTCAGCATTAGCTTGATATCCAGCTGTGGGGCAACCTCCTCCCACGCTCCAATTTCTTCTGTGATTTTCACTGAAATGCTAACATTGAAATCCTTACTCCTGAACTAGCGCAAGTGGTCACCCAGGAAGTACTGCCAGCTGACCCAGGAGGCCAGATGTTGAAAATGCTGGAGGAGCTGCCCAGAGGAGCTAGGGGCACAACAGCCCTGCTCTGTGGATCATGTCCCTAGGACTGTGAGCAAGCTCAGGCCACACATGCTGCCCCCGGGGCTGGGCGGGGCTGACCTGCACTTGCATGTAGAGGTGGGCCTCCTGCCGCTCCTTCCGTTTCTGGGCCTCGATCCTTTTCTCTTCTTGTAGTCGCTCCACCAGCTGCTGAGGAATATCATGGTCGGTGACAGCTTGTAAAACTTCACCTGCAGGACAAACAACAGATCACCTTCCATGGCTGTGCAGACCTGCTTTTCCTTCCTCAGAAGGTTCAAATTCTAGGTCATCATTAATAATAAAATAATCTATTAAAGTGAAAGCATTATTATCAACATATATATTTTTAGAGATAGATAGAGTCTCGCTTTGTCGCCCTTGGTAGAGTGCCGTGGCGTCACAGCTCACAGCAACCTCAAACTCTTGGGCTCAAGTGATTTTCTAGCCTCAGCCTCCCAAGTAGCTGGG